AATAAAGAAAATCTTCATCCTATAATTCAAGTTTATTTTCCTCATTAGTACAGATCAATAAGTTTCATTACTGTTTAACGGTTGAATACGATGGAGCTAGTTTTTAAAGAGCGAAAGGTATGCCTATGAAAGATCGATCAACATAGATATTGTCTGTAAACAGTATTTGAATTTTATTCTTTAAATTAAAATGCTCATTACATGTTATATTTCTCATATTCAATCTATTTATTTAGAATCAATGTATACTTCAATATGGATAAGATATTCAAAGAAAAATAACGACTTAAGACTTCAATTTGCAAGTCTGCTGATATAGTTAATTAAAACTGGAAATAGCAATTACTTTTTCTGTCTGTTGTAAAAGAACTAAAACAAACCTTAGTTCTCTAGTCAGAGTACGATCGATTTCAGTTACAATAAAGACGCAACATTAAGAAATAATAAAAAAATTGGTCAAATGGTAAACGACTAGTTTATTTAAAAATATATATAGATAGTGAGGAAAGACGTAATCTTCTATTTCTTAAGTATATAATTTTTCTATCTTAACTAAAATAATAAAATGCAAAAAACTCAATACAAAATACAAATAGATCATCTTAAAGTATATTATTTCGTCTAATATTCAAATGTCATTCTACTTGTCCGCGAATAAAGAGCAGAGAAAAAAACTTTCATTTCTTTCTCATGACCCGAATAAACTGAATAAAAAAAGGTCACGTTCGCTCAAAACAAGGAAATGTTAAACGATCGTCCCTCTGATATAAGATAAAAAAAAACAAACATTCTGTTCTATTTTTTCTCCTGTCGACGGCAGCATAACTGTATATTTCAATCTTTGGCACACAAAAGAGAGAGAAAACAGATACAAGTTATAAAGAAGAATGAACTAAGAAAATGAAGATACTGGATAATTATAAGATATAACTATTTGCTCCCTTTTTTCAACCTTATATAATTGATTGTAATGATTTAAAATAAAGAAAACATGTCAATTTTGTGTGTGAATCCGACTGTGACATAAATAATATTCTGAAAAATGGATGTCGTTTAATAAATATTTTTCTTTATTTAGACATTTTTTAAAATAAATATTCTTTGTGTATGAGGTTTTTTTTTAACTGTAATAAATCAAAAAACAAATATTAATTTTGTTTTAGTAAAATATGACATGTGATTTCAAATAAATCTCCTGTATTTATAGTAAAGCATTTTTTCTATGTAAGCGTCTTGAGACAGCAAAATGAAGCATACTCAGGCAAATTAAATTACTTTCGTTGCATTCTTTCTAAATAATCGTACATCATTACTGTGCATGAAATGAATACATCATCTTTTTGATTTTTTCATGTATTGATTCATTTTTAATTTTTGCAGTTGCATAATAGTAATATTTTGTCAATATGCGTATTAAGTCTTATTCGCTGCTAAGTTGTCCAATAATATCCTTTATTATTAGATAGACAAACAGTGAGAATCGAGCGAGATATGAGAGGAAGATGGAAGCATCACTTTTACTACAATATCAAAATCAAAGCTCATGTCTTGAGGAAACTCAACTTGCTCTATCTCATATCATAACATATCTTTTTTAGTGAGAAGCTTACTTTTGAAGTGATCTTTATTTTTCAAGGGTCTTTACGGAAACGGAAAATGTTTGCTAGACGTTTTACGCTTTCTGTCTTGAATAGATTTTTATGGCAATCATATCTCTCATCCATTTTTTTAAAAATAATTCAAAGGTTCGAAAAATAATGATCTTTAATAATTTGTACGCTCTGCTTCATTTCGGTTCAAGTCGAAAGTCTATAGAAAAATCTCACAAGATTTTTCTTAATAAGCGTTGTCAATTGAATTTAACTATGTGTAATAAGTGTAAGATGTAACTTTATTTGAAGAGAAAAAAAGTATGACTTGTTTATTTTATGGGTGAATGAAAATAAAAGTGAGAAATAAAAGTACAAGTCATTGAATAACAAAAAAAAAAGAATGTTAAATTAGATAAAACTTATAAATAAATCCTGTAATCATATAAAGCATTGGTCAAACTTAATTTCCATGATCTTTCTTGGCAATGTATCTAATGAGATCGATCACACGATTTGAATAACCATATTCATTATCATACCTGAAAAAGAAAAGAAATATTACGTTTCATATGGACAAAATATTAAATAAATGAAAACATACCATCAAACAAGTTTAACAAAATTATCATTGAGCGAAATACCAGCTTTAGCATCAAAAATTGATGAATGTGTATCAACAATGAAATCTGTTGAAACAACTTCATCATTAGTATAAGCCAAAATACCTTTTAATGGACCATTAGCAGATTTTTTAATTGCAGCACAAATTTCTTCATATTTACCCTAAATAAATAAGTTTAAATAAATAAATTGAATTAAAAAATAAAAA